TAGTGAATAATCACACACGCACAGATTCATGCCATTAAGACCCAGTGTTGCTGGGACTTGCGTAAAATGGGTATCAAGCACATACTAGCAACATTGGGACTACTGCCAAACTGTATAAAAGTACCTGATAGGCTGGGCACGGTGGATCATGCCTATAATCCCAGCACTTTGGGAAGCCCAGGCTGGTGGATCACTTGAGGCCAGGAGTTCAAGACCAGCCTGGTCAACATGGTGAAACCCTGTCTCTACTAAAAATATAAACATTAGCCTGCAGTGGTGGTGCACGCCTGTAGTCCCAGCTACTCAGGAGGCTGAGGCAAGAGAATCGCTTGAACCTAGGAGGCAGAGGTTGCAGTGAGGCGAGATCACGCCACTGCACTCCAGCCTGTGCAACAGAGTGAGACCCTGTCTCAAAAAAGAAAAAAAGTAACTGATAATTCTAAAACCATTTTAAAACTTCAGTAGTACAAATTCTCATTTTCTTTTCTTTTTTCTTTTCTTTCTTTCTGGGGTTTTTTTGTTTTGTTTTGTTTTGTTTTCTTTGACACAGTTTTGCTCTGTTGCCCATGCTGGAGTCCAGCGGCACAATCTCAGCTCACTGCAACCTCCACCTCCCTGGTTCAAGTGATTCTCCCACTTCAGCCTCCTGAGTAGCTGGGATTACAGACACACGCCACCATGCCTGGCTAATGTGCTATATTTTTAGTAGAGCCAGGGTTTCACCATGTTGACCAGGCTGGTCTCAAACTCCTGACCTCAAGTGATCTGCCCACCTCGGCCTCCCAAAAGTGCTAGGATTACAGGTGTGAGCCACTGCACCCAGTCTCAAATTCTCATTTTCAAATGACGGCAGATCTTAGATCCTTGTTTCCCACTCCAAAGTAAGGGCTTAGAATACAAAGATGGGTGTCTCATTTTTACTTCTCAAAAATCTTTTCTCCAGGCTAGGGGAAAGTTATGTAGACAAGGTGTGTAGACAAGGTTATCTGGCTCGAAGCTCAGCAGGAACACACTGGGAGGGGTCCTTATTCAGAAGACTAGCATGCAGTTAGAGATAACATTAATAATAATGATGATGATTAACAGAAGTGCAGGTTATGAGTTTAGGGAGACGTCTGTCCCATTATCCCATTTATTTGCATAGGGCTCATAAATATATTTTTAATACATATTTATAAATATATAAAAATATATATTTGCATATATATGAGAAAAGAAGACGTGCAAGCTGAGGAAAGACCTAGAAGCCACATTTAGGAGGAAAAGTTGAAGGTCTTGAGGCTGTTTAGGTGAAAAAGAAACAAAAGAATAGCAGTTCATAAGACTTAGGTGCAGAGAGAGGAAAGATTCAGAGGCCCAAGAAAAATATATTAAGATTATCTTGAATACGAAGATTTCTGCAAACGTATTGTTTATTCACACAAAGAATATAGGCAAAAGAATTGTTTATACTCAGAAATATTCTTTGTGAATATATTTTCTTGACTCTACTTTCAGATGAATTAATTATATTCAACGAATAGATCATCCTAGGGCTCTAGTCTTATGACTATTCCTTATAAATATGTTCCTGTTTCCCTGTTTTCCCGCTTGCTCCTCTGGGACTCTCCTCTCTCTGCCCCCATCATCGTTTACTGTTTTCAGCCTCTGGTTTTGGCAACAGGGAGCCAGGGGAAAAACATTGAATATTTCTTAAAATACTGCTATGAAGACAAAGGGAAAACCAGTAAATTAAAACTACCCAGGTTTATTTTATTTGATTGTTAGTAAATGTGGTGCGTTGATAGTTGAGCATTCAGCTGATTTGATTTTCTATGAATTAACCTGTTGGCAGGTAATGTGGAAAGGTTTTCAGGGCGCGAGGGTTTGAGTTGGCTACCAGTCCGGTAGGAACTCTGTGAGGAGTAGTAGTTAGTAAGAAAGCTAACTCATATTTAGACAACATTATTAAATTTTTTTATTTTTATATGTGTATGTGTGTATGTATTTCGGAGACATGGTCCCACACTGTTGCCAGGCTGGAGTGCAGAGGCATGATCCTAACTCACTGCAGCCTCGAACTCCTGGGATCAAGCAATCCTCCCACTTCAGCATCCTGAGTAGCTAGGACTCCAGGTACATGCCACCATGCCTGGCTAATTTGTTTATTTTTAGTAGTGACAACAACATCTCATAATTTTGCCCAAGTTGACCTCAAACTCCTGGGCTCAAGCAATCCTCCTGCCTCAGCCTCCCAAAGCACTGGGATTATAGGCATGAGCCACTGTGCCCAGCCAGACAACATTATTAATAATAATGGCCCTTGCCCATGACCACAGTTGATTGAGTCAGAGGTGGGCAGCTGACCCAAGCAAGGCCAATCAGAATTCTTCCCCAAAACTTTTCAAATTGAGATTGAGAAAGTGAGCCTTCCCTAAGTTATCATCCTTGAGAAGAAGTAAGACAGGGAACAGTAGGCAAGCTTGTTTCTCAGAGGTGAAATAAGCCCCTACCTTCAGGGAGAGAAAGGAGCTGACTGGCAGAGGAACAAAGAGCACAGAGCAAGAGAGTCCTGGCACAGTCCCAGCACCTGGATCCTGCTCTTCCTGAAGCCCACCTGCATCCTTGTCCTACCCGAAGGAAGGGGTGGCCGGTTCCAGCCTGAGGGGATGGGTCGGGTTATGCTTGGAGTGAGCCTCAGAAGATAAAAAAGAAAATGCCAACCAGGCACGGTGGCTCACGCCTATAATCCCAACCCTTTGGGAGGCCAAGGTGGGCCGATCACGAGGTCAGGAGATCGAGACCATCCTGGCTAACACGGTGAAACCCCATCTCTACTAAAAATACAAAAAATTAGCCAGGCATGGTGACGGGCGCCTGTAGTCCCAGCTACTCGGGAGGCTGAGGCAGGAGAATGACGTGAACCCGGGACGGGGAGCTTGCAGTGAGCTGAGGTCATGCCACGGCACTCCAGCCTGGGAGACAGAGCGAGACTCTGTCTCAAAAAAAAAAGAAAAAGAAAAAGGAAAAGGGAGAGGAGAGGAGAGGGGAAGGGAGAGGAGGGGAGGGGAGGGGAAGGGAGGAGGAGCCAGGCCAGAAGTACCAGAGGCATGGACTGCTAAGTGGAGTTGGCAGTGGGGAGACTCAGACACCCAGAGAAGGCAGGCTGGGGAGGCAGGGCCAGATCTGGAAGGAACCTGTAATCACACTAAGGAGTTTACGCTTTATTCTCTAAGAACCAGGACCCATTGGTGGGTCTTACACAAGAGAGTAGAGTTTCTTCAGGCACGAGTCTGGAGGGTGAATTGCAGTGGGGAAAGGCAGGAACTGGGGTGCTCTTTGGGAGGCTGCTGCAGAGGTCCGGGTGAGAGGGTGGAGAGCCCAAACAGGGTGGAGAGAAGTGACAATCTCTGAGTGGGACGAACTTCTGGGCAGTAGGAGGGAGCAGCCTTCTGGATGGTTCCAGAGGCTACCTTAGAGAACACACTCCCACCTGTGCCCAGCCTGGGTTCTTCAAATGCTAGATTTCCTCCCAAACACACACGAGGTAGCAGGCATGGCCAGACAAACTGGATATTTATTCCAAGGCCTATCAGAGCCGACAGGAGAATCCCAGGCCAGCAGCTCCCAGGAGGGTCTCTCTCTCTCTTTTCTGGACACACGGACTTCATGACACGTTCTTTGTCTGTCACACATCCCAAATTCCTGTGCCCAGGTAGTCCCCACAAAGTGGAGCCACCACACCACATGGGCCCTGCCTCTGATTACAGTTCACCTGCCTCCCTGCCTTGGCTTATCCTTGTTTTAATGCCAGGGTGGCAAAATGGGGACCTATTGCCAGGACAATGCAGAGTGGCATGTGCCTTGACAGGGCCGTGTGACTCTGCGACTTTGTCTGATATCCACCACGCCCTCAGCCACCACCCCACCTGGGCTGCCTCCTCTCGTTTTCCTCACTTCCTCCAAGTTGCCACATTCCTTCCCCTCAAGGTCTGCAAAGCCAGAACCTTCCTTCTGAATCTGCAACTTTAGCTCCTATGTCTACTGGCAAACTTGATGGATTTCCCCTCCTCCTAAATCTGAAATCTATGTCCCTTCTGGCATCAATCACTCTGCCCAACCCCCTTGCCTTTTTGACAAGTGGCATTCTAAACTGTCTCAAAAAGGAGTCAGATGTGATTATTTCTCCCATCCATCCTTTTAGCTGCGTTTTCCCCTCATATTGCTCTGCCCTAATATAATACTAATAAAATAACAGTGAGAACCCCGCTAATGTCATTTCTCTTATTATGCCATATAATCGACCCCCAAACTGCTTCCAGCCCAATTGCTATAATCAGATGCTTTTTTTTTTCCCACCACTGCACATAGAGGGCTTTGCCTTGCTTCTCTGTCCCTCTGTTCTGTGTAGCTCATGCCCCTGCCATCTCTCACCACGGTTTTCTAAGCGCTGTGTTGCCCATTGTGTAGGTAGGCTGCTTTCCAGATGAAGGCAAAGTTCCTTTTTTTATTCACTGCATTTCAGGGCCTTTTGGATGTCAAGAGGGATGTCCTTAAGAGCACCTGTTTCTTGGGCAGGAACAGATACAATGTACTTCAAGAACACTCTGTGACTTGTTGGCTCCTCTGCATAGAACTCTCTCCATCCTTGCAATTGGCCACAGCACAAGGGGAGGCTTCTCAGATGCCCCATTCCTCACTTCCTTCCTCTGGGGTTATCCTAGTACCCCCACAGGTGGGAGTGCAGATGTGGGCACATGCATTTCAACAGACCCAGCTGCAAACAGACGTCGAAACCAAGGGGCTTTCACGCAGCAACTTGTGGACATGGCCATCATGCCTTCCCGAAGGGATCTCAGATCTGTCCCCAGGGCCACTGCTTCAACTTACAGTTGAACAGCAAGACAGGCTTCTATTTCCTACTTGGGACACAACCTTCCTTCCCTTACAGCCATATTCAGAACTAGATGAGATCCAGCCCACACCCACTTCTGGACCCGCTGTCCCATAACAGTTCCCACATGGCTGGGGCCCTGATGATATCCTGCAGCCCTGCTGGCCACCAGTCACCAACCCCAGCCGCCACCGAGCTCACAGCACGCACCAGACACATTACTCACAACCCTCCTCCTTACACATGTATCTGTATACATTGGTGCCACCCTGTTAAAAAATAATGCACCTTCCCCCTAAGAATGGTCCGTTCCTCTCCTGGCTAAACACACAGAGTTTGTGTTTAAATAACTGTTTCCTTCAAGCATTGCAAGTTCCCGTTTCCTTGTCTGTTTTTAACTTTCGGCTCAGCTTCCTGGAATTTACTTCAAATTGTGTAGATGTAGACATGACCTGCCCAAGGGCATCATTTGAGAACTAACCAGCTGAAAAGAGAAACTCAAATCTCTCCCCGGGGAAACACCAAAGAGCCCTCAACACAGAGCACCCAGTGTCATTGAAAAAACAAAACTCATACACCTGACAAAGATAAAAATGAAAGGAAGAGCGCCACAGAAGATATTAGCTCTTGAAGTTTTGCTGAAAACCCTTCTCCGATTTTCTCCACTTGAGCTCCATGTTTGAATTTGTTTTCTGTTCTTGAAATTGTTTCTTCACCTTTGTCAATATTCATTTCCCTATCCCAGGCATCTTTAGAGCTGAGCTCTAGTTTCTCAGAGAACGTGGATACACACATATTACCTTAGTGTTGTTGTGTTACCTTAGTGTTGTTGCCCCACAATTCCTTATACTCACTGAGACTATCAGAAAAGGAGAATCAGGCCAGGCGCAGTGGCTCACGCCTGTAATCCCAGCACTTTGGGAGGCCGAGGCGGGCAGATCAGGAGGTCAGGAGATTGAGACCATCCTGGCTAACACGGTGAAACCACGTCTCTACTAAAAATACAAAAAATTAGCTGGGCGTGGTGGCGGGCGCCTGTAGTCCCAGCTACTCGGGAGGCTGAGGCAGGAGAATGGTGTGAACCCCGGAGGCAGAGCTTGCAGTGAGCGGAGATCATGCCACTGCACTCTAGCCTGGGCAAAAGAGTGAGACCCTGTCTCAAAAAAACATAAAAGAGAATCAAATTAATATCCAGTCACCTAAGAAACATGCTGTGGTGGCCGGGTGCGATGGCTCATGCCTATAATCCGAGCACTTTGGGAGACAGAGGCAGGCATATCACCTGAGGTCAGGAGTTCGAGACCAGCCTGGCCAACATGGTGAAACCCCGTCTCTACTAAAAACACAAAATTAGCAAGGTGTGGTGGCACGCGCCTGTAATCTCAGCTACTCGGGAGGCTGAGGCAGGAGAATCGCTTGAACCTGGGGGGATGGAGGTTGCAGTGAATGGAGGTTGCACCACTGCACTCCAGCCTGGGTGACAGAGCGAGACTCCATCTAAAAAAAAAACCCAGAAATGTGCTGTGGCAGAGACTGTTCTGTCTTCACCAAACTCTGCTTCGTTTTTCTCCTGAACATGAGCTAGGCTGTATTTCTCAGCCTTCTGTGCAGTTAGGGGGGACATGTGACTAAGTATTGGCCAAGGGAATGCGGGTAGGACTGGTGGACACTTCATGATCTTCTCCCTTAAAAAACTTCCTTCATGAACTTTTCCTTTCTGCTTGCTGAAGCCCCTAAATGACAGCACAGAGCAGACTAAACCTTGTCCCCATTTCCCAGTGACCACTTTTTAAGCCACACTGAACTGTGACATGAACAAGAAATACAATCAGTATTAAGGCACTGAGATTTGAGAAGTTTTGTCGTATCAATTATTCTACCCAAAATTACACATGTGCCAGGTAAGACAATTTCAAAACTTCCACCCAAAAAGTTTATATAGAACAACCTCCATTGCTCATATATCTTCCATATTGACTGTGCTGTGTCCCTCAAGAATCAATCCACGAAAGGCAAAGACACAACCCAATTATGAGATTTCAGTTCCAATTCTGTGGTCAGCTTACATTCAGATATTTCCCAGTGTCATTACAAATAACAACTATTGTTTTTATCTCATCCCCAAGAATTTTGATAGCCACACTAAAACATGAAATAAAATTCAACATCACAACTACAGGAACTTTGGGTGCAAATATCTCAGTGTTTGCACGGATGAACTCAATGTCTCCATGCCTACACCCTTAATGCTCCTCCGCTGAGAAACCTCCTTATCAAGGGGTCTCAGCTGAGACTGTTTCTCCACTCTGACTCAACGCTTTTTCTCTCCAAACCCCCTGGATCCAAAAAGGCAAGAGCGAAATGGTTTGGCTCTGTGTCTCCGCCCAAATCTCATATTGAATTGTAATCTCCAGTGTCGGAGGAGGGGCCTGGTGGGAGGTGATTGGATCATGGGGGCAGATTTCCCCCTTGCTGTTCTCGTGATGGTGAGTTCTCACGAGATGTGATAGTTTTATAAATGGCAGCTTTCCCTGCCCTCTTCGCACTCGCTCCTGCCATCTTGTGAAGAAAGTGTATGTTTTCCCTTCTGCCATGATTGTAAGTTTCCTGAGGTCTCCCCAGCCCTGCAGAACTGTGAGTCAACTAAACCTCTTTTCTTTATATTAGGTTGGTAACAAAGTAATCGTGATGTTTGCCATTGAAAGTAATTGGAAAAGTAACAAATTACCCAGTCTCAGGTGTGTCTTTGTAGCAGTGTTAAAACGAACTAATAATATAAGGAGCCTTTTTGTTAGGGGCTCCTGAGCTGTAAGGTAATTTCCTCTGTCTGCACTGCATCTGATGGGATGCCACCCCATCATTGCCCAGTGCCATTCTAGGGGGAAAATGAAACCATGAGGAGCTGGTGCCTTCCTCTTTCTGGCTCCTGGCTTGTTTGCTCTATCACAGTACATGAGGAAAGGCTTGATTGGTACTTTTGGTTTGGTTCTGTGTCGTAATTAACCACCTCAACAGCTGGCAGCTTCACAGTTCTTAACTGCCAGAGTTTGTCTCTATGGCTCCCACCCAATCAATTCCAGAAACGCAAATGCATCCAATTCAAATGCATCTTGGAGTTAAGGCCCAGTTCTCCCTTTTCCGTGTCTCTCCTTCTCCAATTCTTTCTCTCCTCAAAATCTGGCTGAACCACCAGATTTCTCCTGAGTTTATCAACTGAGCTCCTAGGAGTTTGTATTTAACAATAGCTAATAGTTATATGTTTCCTATCATCCTGTATCCTGGATATCCTCCTGATCAACAGTTGCACTCACTCAGGTTGAGAAAATAAATTATGACCTAGAGGAAGGGAAAAGGCTTAAGAGGTAGATTCCAGCGGCTCTGGCTTGTGTGATGAAAGGAAAAATTCACTTAGGGGAAGATGATTGTTTCACTTTGCGACGGGCTGTGTTTGAGTTGCCATCATCCAACCAACTGGAGATGCCCAGTGTGGATTAATGAATCGGCTTGGTGGGTGCTTTCCAGTGCAGACGGAAGATAAAGCCATGGACCGCCTGCCAAGCACACATTCCAGGGACTTCTGCACCCTGGGAGCAGTTGGGGCATATGGACTTTGGGGATGGAGCCCATTCCACAAAAAATAAAAAGAGGTACTAACATCAGAGGCATTAGAACCAGAGCGACTCCATCTTGAGTGAGGGCTAGGAAAAATGAGGCTGGGGCTTGCTGGGCTACATTCCCAGAAAGGTATTATTCCTGGCCTCTAGATGTTTACGGTTAAGTGAGCAGATTGATAACATTTACTAAACAGACCCAGACTTAAGAGTGTTCTGATATCCCAATATCTTAACAGAAGAATTCCTAATTTTCCTTTAAAGATAATATTGATTCTTGCAAAATATAGTAATTAAGAAAACTAATCCTTTATCACAAACCTTTATAGGAGAGCACATCTCCCCATTATCTTTTTTTATCCTACATACATGTAAAATATTGTACCTAGGTTGGACACATTCCTCCTCTTACTTTCAGGAGCACCCTACTCTATGGAGTAGCTGTTCTTTCACCACTTAACTTTCTTAATAAACTTGCTTTTGCTTTGCCTCGTGGACTCACCCTGAATTCATTCTTGTGCGAGATCCAAGAACCCTCTCTTGGGGTCTGGATCTGGACCCATTTCCTGTAACACTAATGAAGCCTCTTGCCACTCAGCAAAGGGTGAGGATAATCACATCTCTACCAGAGAAACAAGCCCTGCATCTTGCACTGTGCCCTTTCAGTGAGAAAACAAAGCAGAAAATCAGAGCTCTGCTTCCAGGGAAATACCTACTCTGCAGGGTCAGAGTGACCTGAGCTCACATGAACTGTTTTTTTTTTTCTCCATCACAATGAGGACTCTCTAGAAACACAATTATCTTCACGTGGTCAGCACTGGGCTTTGGCCAAGAAAGCTGAGTAAAGACCCTGTTATTGAACCAACCTGGGGTCTGCATGCCAGGTGGAGTAAGGACAGAACATCCACACCAAGGTTTGCAGCAGAAGACGGGAAGGCATTTATCTGCTGGGCAACGCTCCCCGATTTTCCTTACTTGGTGCCTGACAAAAATGCTTTCCTCTCTTCCTTACTTGGTGACTAGCAAATAATCCTGACCTCACTGATGGCTTGCAGGTAAGAATTTTTAAAGGTGGGGCTCAGCTTCAGGAAAGCAGAAATTACAGGCAAAATTGTAAATCAGTAGACAAAGGTTACACATTGGTTTTGGCCTAAAAGGGCAGGATATCTTGACATGGGGGCTTACACATTAATAGGTAGATTCAAAGATTTTCTGATTTGCAATTGGTTAAGGAAGAGAAGCTTTATTTAAAAACTGGGGGTCAGGCTGGCCGTGGTGGCTTAGGCCTGTAATCCCAGCACTTTGGGATGCTGAGGTAGGTGGATCACTTGAGGTCAGGAGTTTGAGACCAGCCTGGTCAACATGGCGAAACCCAGTCTCTACTAAAAATACAAAAATAAGCCAGGCATGGTGGCACATGCCTGTAATCCCACTACTTGGGAGGCTGAGGCAGGAGAATTGCTTGAACCCAGGAGGCAGAGGTTGCAGTGAACTGAGATCGTGCCACTGCACTCCAGCCTGGGCTGTGGAGCAAGGCTCCATCTCAAAAAATAACAAAATAAAAACTGGGGGTTAGCAGAAAATGTTAGCTCCAGCTCCTGGGTGTGACTTCCTCTAGACACCACAGGAAGAAA